TAAGAAGTTATAGAAGTAGTTGATTGCTTCAAGCCTCTCCAAATTTAAAAGTATTTTTAAGGTCGAATCATAGATTAATGATATGTAGTTATTTAAATAGATAAAAAATATAAATAATTTTTACTATTTAATAAATGGAAATAGCCATGAATCCGTTCACATAAAAAACACAGAATAAAGAGTGTGAACCTACATTTTTGGGACTTTGATCTTAAATTTATGATGAGAATGTATACATTTCTTTATGCTATTGGAGTAAACATTATTTATAAGTCAAATTTTAAGTATTATTTATATATTGTGTTTAGTTGTGATTTTTAAAACCTATGCTTACTAGTTGTGATTTATAATTGCGTTGATAATAACAATTTATAAGTCATATTTAATGGTAATGATGTCACATTTTCGATTACAAAACTTTAAATATTACTGCACCGGTGACCAAAACTCTTTTACAAATAATTTGGTCCAGCAGGACCAGTACTCCAAGCCCCCACGCCTAGCTAGTTGAAATCAGAAAAAATGCGGTGTCCGTACTGCTCGGCGGAGCAAGGGCGGTGTACCAGCAGCACTAGTGGCAGACCGATAACAGAGTGCACATCCTGCGGCCGGGTAGTGGAGGAGCGATTAACCCAATCCCACCATCTTTTTCATACCCGTGCCCAAGATTCTCCTCTGTGCCTGGCTACTTCCGATCTCCCCACTCTTCCCATCTCCGCCACTAACGACGATGAAGACCCATTTGAACCCACTGGTTTCATCACCGCTTTCTCTACTTGGTCTCTCGAACCCTACCCAGTATTTGCCCAATCCTCCATTTCATTCGCCGGCCACCTCGCAGAGCTCGAGCGGGTCCTCGAAACGACGTCAACTTCCTCCAGTTCGTCTTCTTCCTCTGTCGTGGTGGAAAATCTCCGGGCTTATTTGCAGATTATTGATGTGGCTTCTATTCTGCGACTGGATTATGATATTTCGGACCACGCGTTTCAGCTCTTCAGGGATTGTTCTTCGGCGACTTGCTTAAGGAATCGGAGTGTTGAAGCGCTTGCTACTGCTGCTCTTGTGCACGCTATCAGGGAAGCCCAAGAGCCGAGAACTCTCCAGGTATGTTAAATTGGTAAATGGATGCCATAAATACTATGCTATTGCTGAATTTGAAAGGGACAAAACTAATCAAGCTCTAAGCTTTGCTCTGTCTATACTAATCCAGCTAATTGGCATCTAGTTGAACTCTTGCCAAATCTTTTGAAGTAAGGAACATCTTTGTAAAGGAATCGGGGGTCCAAAAACAATAGGACTTCATATATTGGGAAAATAGCTACAATAGATGTATTTGGTATGGCAGAAAATATCTTTCAAAGAAGTGGTACTACCGTCCATTGTCAGCGGTACTCATTTTTCTTTCCAAATACCACAGCTGTTACTGTGTATCACTTGCTTCAATCAACACAATGTTAATGTTTCCAATATTCAATACTACTACTAAATCACCAAGACAGTATTGTTAACATTTCAATCAATAGGTATGGAACTTTGGTGTTACAATCTTTTTTTAAAAACAAATAAGGTCATTTAATTGAGTAGAACAGTGCCAAGAGAACGCTGGTAATTACAGCTATGTAGCATACTGATTCAGCTGAACCTTTGTCATTGTTAGCTCGTTTCGTCTCGCTATTTCCTTTCTTGTTCTCTTGTTCAAGCTTATTTCCATCCTAGGGTTTATTCTGATGTTGATAAACTTTTGCCTTCTCCAAACCTCTCTTTCTCACTTACTACTTTTCCTCTTTCTTATCTTAAGTGGAAGATACCCTATATGTAGGAAAATCATGGAAGAGAAGGAAAAAAACAAAGTACAAAGAGGGAAATACAAGAGAAGACAGGAAACTTTTGGTGGGCTGTAAGGGAACTTCTTTCTCCTCGCCCTTTCTCTCCCTCCCCCTACCCCCAGTCCCCCACCCAATGTTCTTTTCACGTGTTTTTCTAGGAACAAACAAGAGATGGGAAGCTCTTGTACTTCTTTCCTCTTCCCTTCCCTAGTTTCCTTTAGTAGTGTGCCGAACCTGGAGTTGCAGTATAGTTGCATCAAAAATATCCTGTGATTGACCATTGACAACAAATCTGCTGCTAACTTTAAAGTGGTTAATAGATACTACCCATTTGATTGCACTTAAAGCCAAGCAAATGGTCAATAACCTTAAGCTCACAATTTGAATTTTGTTTCTTGGTCTTCGTTAAACATATACTCCATGAAATAGAACAGTGCTTCAAAATAGCAACAACAATGTAGAAAGCATCATCATGAATAAGGGCCTTTAAGATGTATTGAATGTGAAGTACTGCCATTGTGTTACTACTGTCAATTGTCATTCTTGTAGTAAGAGAGCTAGAGAGAGAGAGAGAGAGGGGTCTCAAGATTGCTAACATGTCATTTTTGATATTATGCTAGTGTGTCTTTGTCAATGGTTGTTGATTGTAATTTGTATACCATGTTTACTTTGAAATAATTAGACATTCTTCCAATTGTAGGTCAAACTGAACATTTGGCTTTTTTTCCCCTCTTCCATTGGATGCTTAATTTTTTGTAACTGAGTGGTAGTCTGAGATGCATTTCATAAAAAAACTTCCATGAACTTTCTGATTTTTCTGCGCTTCTCTAATTTGAATTAATTGATAACTAGGAAATATCAGTTGCAGCCAATTTACCTCAGAAGGAAATTGGGAAGTACATAAAGATTCTTGGAGAAGCGTTACAACTCAGTCAACCTATCAATAGTAATTCTATATCAGTACATATGCCAAGGTTTTGTACACTCCTTCAGCTGAATAAATCTGCTCAGGTACCTAACGGTTCATTCAAAAGTTAGTAATCAGTTGCCTTGGTTAATTGTATATGCTATTGTCATTAACAAAAAATCAATAGCCGAAAAAAGCTCTCTTTCCCAATCAATTTGTTTGAGACTGCGAATAAGTCATGTCATGTTGGTCCTATGTGTTTACTCAATTTCATCAAGTTATTGTTTAGTTTACTTGAAGGTTCCTCTGTATTTACTAAATCTTTTGAATGTATCTTGCACAACAATTGCATCAGGAGCTGGCGACTCACATTGGTGAAGTAATCATCAATAAATGCTTTTGCACTAGAAGGAATCCAATTAGCATCTCTGCTGCTGCTATATATTTGGCATGTCAACTAGAGGACAAGCGGAAGACCCAGGCTGAAATATGTAAGGTGACTGGACTAACTGAGGTTACTCTTCGTAAGGTGTACAAGGAGCTTTTGGAGAACTGGGATGATCTCCTACCCTCAAGTTATAAACCAGTTGTTCCACCAGAGAAGGCTTTTCCTTCAGCTACCATTGCTACAGGCCGTTCATTAACACCTAGAGTTGATTTAGTTGAGGGAACTTCATCTGAGAGGGACAAGCCTGTTAAACCAGTCAACTCATTAGATGTATCTCCTCAGATCAGAGGCAAGGAGGACTCTCATAGCAAAGATAATATTAATACGACTCAATTATCTTGGCCACCACCATTTTGGAAGCCTGAAGCTCCTACTGAAGGTGGTGTTAAAACAGCTACAGAGAAGAGTCAGAATGCTACTCAAGAAATGGAAATTGATTTATAATATAAATCTCAGTAAGATGCACCTTTTCACAAATAGCAAAAACTGCTTCTAGTTCTTTGATGTCAGCCAGTTCTCTTATCACCTGTGTCAACTGCAACTTCAGCTTCAGTGTTCTGAATCTCCAGCCTGCGGTATCACCTGGCTCTTTTGGAATGTTCAAGCTGTACTACCACCAAAGGTTGCATCTAACCCTGTAGATAGAGGATTCATTTAGTAAAGTCAGGATGAGGAGCCATATGTAGCTGGATAAACGGATAAGCAATTACTTTGGTTAGAAGATGGGGGACTATGAGAGGGAGAAATAGTAGTTACAAAAACGCCTCGTGTAAGTTTCATTTGGTACTCTCGTGGAGCTTTGAGCAACCAGGTGCTTAAATGGACATTTCCGCAATCATCTAAAAGTCCTATTCTCCTTCTACTTCTCATAATAGTTTTTTTCTTAATATAAGCATCAGTTAGAATGGTAATGATATACTAATATCCTATTTCTTCTCCCAACACATTTAGCTTGGAACACTCTGGTATGGAATTCTGAACGCCGCTGGTGATAACTTTTCGCCTTTATATAGTATGCCTTATTGATATAAAAATGGAGAAAAGATCTTAGGTACTCCATTTACATGGTTTAGTCCTTTTCTAATTTTATTTGCCACAGTGAATCGCAGGTAAGAAACTTAGTTCTTTTGCTTTGAAAGCTCCTAAGAAATACTATATGCCAAATGGAGGTGCTAGAGCAGGAGTAATTTCAGTAGTCGTCAGTTTACCAAAGTGACTGAATTTTTTTTTTTACGGAAAAATTACGCAGCTTCACTTAGATATTGTCATTACATAATTTTTTATTTTTGGCTACAACTTCGCAGCTGGCATCATTTTCCACTGTACATTTTTCTAAGAAATAATCCGACTATAGGATTGTATTCGTGTTTTATAACTCAAAAGTCATCCGACTTTAATTTTTTAAATATCAATAAATACTTTATATGTCCAACAATAGTTGTTCATTATTGATTTGATGCAGGAATTAAGAAGTCGTAAATGATAAATGTAATTTTACTAAATAACCCTTATTAAATATGAGTCATCTAAGTATTAAAAAATGAACCATATTTAATAGTAAAGGTTTTATTGTTCATTTCAAAATTGTATAGTGGACAAGTAAAGATGGATCAGGAGTATGTTATTTAAGTGTTTGATTTTAAAATAGAGAATGCATGTGTATTTAAATTATTACTATATTTTTGTATAATTTCTATAGTATAAGAGTGTAACTATTTGATTTTAATATAATTTCTATAGTATAAGAGTGTAACTATTTGATTTTAAAAATAGAGAGTATCTTTATCATTAAATCATGGTACTTATTTGTGTTTGATTTTAAAATATTGAGGGATGCAATGTATAATTTAATCACTTTTCAGGGTGTGCAGTTGTACTCTAATATTTTATCTATTTTAATAAGAAAAGTTTTTTTGTAGGAGTCGTCAATTCGAGTCTCGCAATATAAAGACATAATACATAAATATGACTCTTAACTTGGCATCAATCGATAACTATGACCTTTAATTTTGGATATGCACAAGTAGACACTTAAACTTGTATAAAATTGAACAACTAGATGCATTCGTCCTATATGACACTTTACATGAAAATTTTGTGTCTTATGTGGCGTCCTACATGTATTATGTCATGTAGGATACATGTGTCTACTTGTTCAATTTTATACAAGTTTAAGTATTTACTTGTGCACACTCAAAGTTGAAGGGCATAATTATCGTTGAAGCCAAGTTAAGAATAACGTTTATGTATTACGCCCGTATAAAAAGAGTCGAGCGTTAAGTACAAGGGGATCCATCATTCTCGCTTAACAACAATAATTGAATTACACTCTGTGATAGAAATTCAGTAAGGTATAGATTCTTATTTTCTTCATCGTTCAATTGTTTGCTCAAGAATTTAGGGTTTTGTATGTGCTTACAAATAATAATTTGGCTTTGATCACTATAGTTTTTAGAGTTTTTGTGGCTACATAATTGATTGATCTTATCTTATTATGCGATATTCAGATTAGGCTTTTTGTATATTCTAGTTTTTCGCAATCTGTTCTCTTCTTTTCTTTGAGATTTCTATGCCAATTTAGTTGATATGTTTTTCTTGAGAGATCGTTTTGTTGATATGTTATTGTTCATTAAGTATTCTTTTAGATATATGTTAATATAGAGTACCCATCATTCCAGTATTGCTGTAAGAGCTAACGTCATTTGATCTTCAAGAATGTCAAGAAAATTATTTTGTTGTCTATCGGAAATATTCTCCCTACCCACAAAGGTAGGGGGTAAGTCCTTCGTGTGCATCTTAATTCCTACCCTCCCCTGATCCCATTACATTGGGTGTGTTGTTGTTGTATAGAAAATGAAAAGCAACAATCTTGACTGAATTTAGGGGTGTAAAATGGTGGGCGGGTTTGGTCAAATTTGGACTGGTTAAGCGTCAAGTCAAAGCAAGTCAAAACTGAACCCTCATGATGTTAGAGGCATTGTGATTATCTTTAGTAACAGAAGATTGAAAAAACAAGAAAGAGACTGTTTGTTGCACTGTCTTAACCATCAGTGACTATAATCCATTCTTCCTTCTATGGCTTCTTCATAAGATTTTGTGGTTTTTGTGCATATTCCATATTTTTTCTTTGGAACATACAGTGAAATCTGATCCTGATTAGACTTTAGTGTTCTGCTCCTCCTGTAGGTTGTTGTCTTGTAAGTAACCTGAAAGTTTGATATGTAAGCCATGCTTATATGTGGCAGAATGATTTTACTGCTAATGATTCAAAATATTTCCATCTTCTTATGGGTTAGAATCAAAATCTTATGTATTTTTTCAAATACACGATGGTTCCTTACTGAAATTAGATTTTCCTTTCTACTTTACGTTATTGGTTTTTACCTTAGTAGCCTTGAACCTGGAATCTGATGCTGGAATCAGTGCTACTTTAAATATATCAAAGTGATGCTGGTGATATAGGATGTGGCTGTCTCTGTCTAGTGATTGCTGAGTAAGAAATATGAAATATGGAAGTGCCAAGTTGTGACTGATAACTAATGTTCATCTAATGACCGACTAGTGGTCCAATTGAATACATTAAATTCTGTATGATATTTTACTGTGATATTCACCCTCATTGTGGTGTCTTAGGAAAATATGGTTTCAAAGATATTTCTGGCCTACCTGAAAATGCAGTATTCTCCTAGTCATCAACAAGCTCCATTTACAATCGTTCTAATCTTAGCATTTGTTGCTACCCGAAAATTTCTGCTTCCTTTGTATGAAATCTTGTTTTGGAAGTTTCTGCATGTGCATACTTAACAATTATAATTATAATGTTGGGATAGGGTCTGTTACAGTTAGAACTATAGGAGAAAAAACATGTAAAGTGGTCGTTGTATGTGGGGAAATTTCATTTGTTTGATGGAAAAATGGAACTTTTAATTCCAATTGTCCTAAATTGAGTATTTCAAATAAATAATTCTATATTTAAGATGAGTGTTGCTGTTTGACAATGGAGTAAATTTATTTAGGTTGCAATAATGGATCGTGGAAAAATACCAGACCTTGCTGCACGGGATAATAAGATTTATCTGGATTTAAAGGACATCATCAAGGAGAATGCCCTTCCCTTCCTTCCTGCCAAATCAGTTGTCAAATTCGGAGCTGTTTGCAGGGACTGGAGATTCCAGATTTCCGCTCCACTTTTTGCCCACAATCAGTCACTTTCTTGTCACAGCACATCAGGCATCTTTATCCAGATTCACAGGGGTTCCCCTTCTCTCATACCCATTTGTGGGGTGCCAGATCCAATTCTTAGCTTCTTGCCTGAGCCTGTTGACATTAAATCCTCCTCCAATGGACTGCTTTGTTGCCGAGGTCGTGAAGGGGACAAGGTCTACTACATATGTAATCCCTTTACTAAGCAGTGGAAGGAACTACCAAAATCAAATGCTAATCATGGATCAGTTCCAGCAATTGTGCTCTTAGTTGAACCATCGTTGCTCAACTTTGTAGCAGAGTACAAAATTATATGTGCTTTTCCATCCACAGATTTTGGTAAGGCAACTGAATTTGATATATATTCCTCCAGAGAGGGTTCTTGGGAAATTGCTAGGGAGATATGCTTTGGAGATAGAACAATATTTTGTTTACTGGATGACAACTGATAATATTCTTGCTTTTGATCTAACAAAGGAGAGGTCACAGCTCCTTCAAAGCTATGACACTCATGGCTTCTTGGGGACTTTTAGTGGAAAGCTCTGTAAGGTTGATGTCACTGGTAATAGAATCTTGTTAAACATTTTGGCTAATACCCACTCAAATACAATGCAAATGGGAAGCCAAATCAAAATGTGGTCAGAGAAACAGACTGTTGTTCTTGACAGTGAAATTGTTGGGGATGTAACAAGGAACTACTCAGTTTTACATGTTGACAGTGATATAATGGTGGCTCGTTGTGGAGGAAGAACGTACTCATACGATTTCAAGTCCTGTGCAAAAAAATTTCTGAGCAGTGAAGTTGGAATTCGTCGATGCTTTCCATATGTAAACAGCCTAGTTGTAACAAACTCAATAACAAGACCAACTCAATTCAACTTCAAACAACCGACAACTCTATTTCATTAACTCGTAATTGGAATTACATAGGAATTTAAGAACTAAATAGGAAATTAGAAGAACACAAGTAGAAGAAAGGGGATGAGAAGCTTAGACTAAGAAGGGAGATGAGAGGAAACACTCTTTTCTTTAACAATTTGCATAAACCACTTCTTCTCATCCATCATCCTTTTAGCTAGTTGTTAAATGGGCCTGGATCCCAAATCAGCCTTTGCAAAGGCCTTCCAGTTTTGTTGCTTCTTCTCGGCCCAATAACTAGTTGTGTCACATTCGTAAAGGTATCGGCATTGGGCTGAGGCTGGTTCATAACAATACTCCCGTCCTCAATAGGAACCTTGTCCTCAAGGTTCGAGTAAGGAACAATGTTAGTAGCACACTCCCTGCCAAATGTAGTCAAGACAAACTGTGCAATGTTGGCAAAATATAAAATATGATCTTGTATACTTCTTGCACAACCATCAACCATCCATTTGTTCTGCCTTTGTGCAGCCCTTAACTGGTTCTTCATTAACCGCTCCCAAATCTTGCACAAAAAAATTGCTGACATAATAAATTCGGAGATTTCCGCCTTGACAGCATGAGAATGGAATTCTTTTACTGGAAAGCCACACTCATACTCCATAAAAATGTAATCAAGATAATCCTCAATAAATCTTTGTTGCTCAGTCCATGAATAAGTTGCAACTATATCACACATAATTGAGCTCAAAGTTGAACCAGTAATTATGCTTGGCCTAAGCTTGTGCTCTGTCAACAGTAGGACCCAAACAATCTGAAATATGAACTTTGCTTGCAAGAAATTACTCTCGACAAAGACGCTATCAGTGTAACAACGTTGAATCATTCGAGGAGTTAGGTGATAAAGTGAGGCAATCTGTCGGTCAGTTCTCTGCGGTGCAAGTTCTTCATCAAGATATAACTGCTGGCGAAATACGTCCATTGTCTTACCAGGTAACTTAGCAAATATCTCACAAGCAAGATAAGGACCAGGACCAAAGCCTAGATAAGACAAAGTTGTCTTTGATATATGAACTACACCAAATATAGTCAACAAGAGCACATCATCTTTGTTGACAAGAATATCAGAAAACTGCTCTGAATATCGTGCGGCAAATGCCCTAAGCAACCCCTGCATTTTCTCCGCCCTACTGAACTCTCTCGATTTAGGCAACAAGATACCAGGAAGACATTGCTCTTGTCCTTTACCAACCCAAATGCAAGAATACCATAAGGTTGACATAATTAACTTATTATGATCCAAGTTGTCTAAGGCGACACAAAATACATAGTTTCTTGTAACTCTAAGGAACATGGTAAGTGAACGAGAGCCAGGATCAAATGGAAACGCTAATCCGAATTGATCAGGTGGAAACAGATGCAAAGTTAAGAGAAGTGAAGCATGACCAAAACTACTAAAGTGATCAATTATACCTCTATTAATAAGTTGGTCATATCTGCAAGTTGAAAGCATTTCAGACATCTCCTCCAAGCATCGGGTTATCCCAAGTTTATGTATCATATTAAACATGGCAAAGTCACCGAAAGTAGAAAATGTAGAATCAATCCATAATGGGCGTATTCCCACAAATGCAGGAACTAGTTGTTGTATTTTATTTTCAATGGCAAAAAGCTTTTCTTCTTCTTCTTCTTCTTCCTCATTCTTGTCTTCATTTCCAACATCAATAACATAGTCATTTTCCTCAATAGTATATGTGGTAATCGTAAGCACCTTGTGTGATTCTAGAATAACATCCTTACATCCTATGGAAAATTCATCGAACACCTTGTGTGCCTCATTGTTGTTGTATACAAGTGGTTCACTAACGTGTTGTGGAACAGGGAACTCCGCCTCCTCTTTAGTTTCATCCAAAATCGAATGAAAAATCTTCTCTTTTGCTTGAGTGTCCAACATTTCAGCACTGCCATTTTTAATTAGCATTGTTGCATTCTCAACATCTACAACAATATCAGGTGTCTTATTTGACTTTTCACCGAACACCTGGTGGGCAGATTTCACCTTGTTGTAGTCCGATGGTTCATTCCACGACTGAGGCGAGGGCAAGTTAGGGATAGTGCTCCATGACGAAATAGTTGCAGCCCGTGCCTGATAATCATCCACTGTGGTAAACTGCCGGAGAAAGGCGAATCGATTGTAAGGATCTTTCCGACTCTGAAAACGAATAAACAATTTATCTACGAAATGATCCCAACCCGCAAGTTGTTTGTTTCGGAAAAGCCAACGATACCATTCCAAAGCCTCGCCATCCAAATAGAATGAAGCCCAAGACAGTTTATGCTCCGATAATATGTCGTAGAAGATGAAATACTTCTCTGTCTGAATCACCCACTCTAGAGGATTGTCACCACTGAAGCGACTCATGACAGGGGATTGAGATAGGTCCACCATGATAGATGGAATCAATGAAAGCACCAATGTAACAAACTCAATAACAAGACCAACTCAATTCAACTTCAAACAACCGACAACTCTATTTCATTAACTCGTAATTGGAATTACATAGGAATTTAAGAACTAAATGGAAATTGAAGAACACAAGTAGAAGAAAGGGGATGAGAAGCTTAGACTAAGAAGGGAGATGAGAGGAAACACTCTTTTCTTTAACAATTTGCATAAACCACTTCTTCTCATCCATCATCCTTTTAGCTAGTTGTTAAATGGGCCTGGATCCCAAATCAGCCTTTGCAAAGGCCTTCCAGTTTTGTTGCTTCTTCTCGGCCCAATAACTAGTTGTGTCACATTCGTAAAGGTATCGGCATTGGGCTGAGGCTGGTTCATAACACTAGTCTCCCTCTAAATTCTAATCTGCCAAGGTTCTTTGTTTGGAGCTGCAGCCAGCTTATTTTAGATGGTTGCTTGTACTGAGGAAATTTATATAGTATTGTTTGTGCTGTACTAACGGTCTCTTATATAGTATATAGAACGAATGAAATAGTAACTATGAACATGGATAAATACAGGCTTTACGTTTTATCTTATGTGTCTTGAGTACGAAATTCTATGAAGTGGGTGACACTTTTGAAATTGAAATAAATAAAAAATTAAGTATAAGTAGTGATTTTTTAAAAGAAAATAAATCAACTCAGAAAGTAGGACTTATAAATTATATTAAGAAAATTATGTTTGAAAGAGTGCAGTTTTAATTTGTGTCAAAAGTTTTATCAAGAAACGTTTGTCGTTAATTCTTAATTTAATATATTTTGATATTTTATTTATTTTAAAAGAAGAATGCGAGATTTCAAGAGAGATAATGAAAACTGACCTGCTTAAACCGCTTGTAATTGTCATTTTGATCAATTGCAAGAAGTCCACAAGTCATCAGACTTTCACCAACTCTCTCAAATCATCACATTCTTCCTTAAAAATGGAAAAATATCAACATACATTGAATTGAAAGTTTAACTACAAAAGCTTCTTGTTTCCTACTCTTTCTTTTATTTCCTTTCTGTACACTTAGGAGCTATTTATAGTGAAGCAGACCTCGTTGAACACGCAACACACACTTTTGTTGTCAGAAGACCTCACGTTGGGCATGTGTTATGGGGTCCTAGTGCCGTTGCATTTATCATCAATGATTAATTTAAAACTCACGAGGACGTGCATTGGGGGCATTAACACGTTATTTTACAATTTTAACCAACACTTGAAATTTAAGTTTTGAATATTTTCCCCCTCCCACCTTGCACCAAACTTATGTTATTATGTTTTAATTTGGGCTGATCAAAATAAAAGTATAACTGATAATTTAATCCAACTTGTTGACTTATTGATATTGAATTATTCAATTAACAATTAATAAACGGATTAAAATTTTATAATAGACAATTTATTAATGCATGAACAAACTACTTAATTTTCTTATTGGATAAATCATCAATTCATTAAAAATGATCATAGTTATATTTTTTTCAACATATATTTATATCCGCCTTACTTCTATTTTTATTTTTTTTCTTGTTAATGTAGCATTGAGATTTGGTTTGTTCTTGTTGGGAACAGATCTCATGATATACTTGATGAAAAAAAGAGACAAGTCAATTTAAGCAATGACGTGTATTTTATTTTTGTGATTTTAATTTAAGAAAAATAATAATACAATAGTAGTATTTAAGATGTAAATTGGTGCTATATTTAGTGTGATATATCCCCCAATAACCGTTCGATAATTGCTAATTCGATATTAAATCAATTGATATTTTATTGATTGGCTAGTAGATTAATACATTTAAAAATTGATATCTAATAAGTTGAATTGTTAAGTATAACTATCCACCTAATCTGCCCGATAAGCCGTCCTATTTCCAGTTATCTCTACGTTCTCATGTGGATCTCACACACCTATAATTCACCTCAATAACATTTTTTTAAAAACATAAACATAACCCCAATTTAATTCATTAACTTACGAAATTTTACATAGGCTTTCTTTATCACTTCATTAAAGTTATATTCAATCTGAATAAATATTCAAAATGATAATTTTTTACAAATTGGGCAATGAACTGGACTTGGCTAGTCTATGAGCCAAATAAAAATATTTAATTCAAAATTATACAAAAAGAAAAAAAAGAAAAAAAAAACAGAACACTAAAAATAACAAGTAGAGGAGTCAAATTCAAATATACGTAATCCATCATATATAGCTACATTGCAAAGTCTAAAGACAAAAGCTTTAAAAATTAAATAAAATTATATTTATGAAATGTGTAAATAACCATTCTTAGTCCTAATTGTAAAAGAAGCTCTCTTTTAAATACCAAACTTGTATCAAGACCAAAATAAAAAGGTCATATATAATCAAACTTATACTGAAATCAACAAGCCAACACGAAAATTCTTTACATAATGAATATTACTAATATATTTTTTTGTCATACCAAGCACATTATTTCAGATCCACTAACTAATAAGTGAAGTTTTTGCAGGTGGTTTGATTATAAGAGTATTGAGCCTAGCATTTTTCCACTTTGTGACAGCTTACTCTAGTATCTATATACAATCAATTCTCAAGTAATATTCTAAGCAAAAATAATAATCAGATAATTCTTGCGTAAAACAACTTGTATTAAAATAAAACAGAAATATTATATACATACATTTAAAGAAAAGAAGTCACTTCCCACATAAGGAAATACTACTAGTAGCAAGCAAGAACACAATCTTTTGGAGAGATGAGAGTCTCTGTGTAAGTATATCCATCCCACCTCATGGTATCTTCATCACTAGTTAGAGGCCCTATGAGATTGCTTCTTCTGTCTGATTCTTTGAATGTTATAAGCACATCTCTTCTATCTGAATTCAGCAACACTCGCCCATCTCCAAATATATATTTCGGAACGATTGGTAACACTTGAAAACGATCTCTGCTATCTCTCATTGTAAATAATTTAGTCCAAGATTCTCTTTTACCATACTCTTTCATTACCCACAAATCAAAAACAATAGTATCCTCCTTGACACAAACAAAATTTACACTAAGCATTCCACCTAACACTGTTACGCCTTGCTCGATCGTGTCACAGAACAAAGGCATCTCCTTCGACAATGGTAATTCTCCAAACGCCTCATTTGAAATATTAAATGAAAACAGAGAAAACCTACCTCCTTCGGAATAAACTAGCCAATGAAATGTTCCTCGTACTAATGTCAAATAATCCATATTATGGCATTCGATGGTAAAGTAACCTTCATAAATTTTTCTACACGAACCAGTTTTTAGTGAGAGAATTTCAGTGGGTGCCTCTGAATTAGTTTCAGGAATCTTAACGACCTTATAGTCATCACTAGTTGGGTCATATCCCAATCCAAAATTGTAATCACAAAAGAACTTATCCCAATGTGATGGTAGTAATGCTGATTCTCTTGTAGAAGGATTCCACAAAATATATTTCTGCTTAATCCCAATTAAAAACAAGCCATTGCAGCTACCATAGATCTTGTAATTGTAAGGCCCTTCCACACATTGCGGGACAAACACTGATTCTTGTACATCCCTAACAATTAGATGTGACATTGATGACAAAGATGAACAATAGAAAAAAATATTACGATCCCTGGCTGTCCGTTCTATAAGCAATTTGTCATTTTTCGCATGATTGAGATGCATTTTCTTAAAGCTAGGTTCGCAGATTAAAGCCTTCCAAGACTTTGAAACGCACTTGAATAGGAAAAGAGATTTCACAGGCAATCTACTTAAAATATCCATAATTATTTCTTCTTGGATGTACATGTGAGTTTCCATTCCTACAAGGTAACGAGAAAATATCAACAATGACCTAAAGTTTGGCTTACAAAATTGAGTTTTTGGCTAAATTCATCCCTCAAGTATAAGCCAAACTTAGAGTACATCCTCATGATATAATTGTGACCAAAAAACATCCTTCTAGTATCCCAAAACTTGCATAAGCATCCTTCTGTTAACTACTGTTAAAAACTAACAGAAAGAAAAACATGTGCCAAGCACATGACTTCCCCAAATCCCCATACATTGTACTATTGATTTCCTCCCAAATCCTGCCCGATCAGCTTCCAAAAACAAAATTTCATCTTCTTCTGAACTTAAGCAACTAGACAAGTTCTTTTTCAACAGAAGAACTGAAGCTGGGGTTATTTTCTATCTCCTCTTTCCTTGCCTCACAAACAAGGTAAACAAAATAGTCATTGAAGAAGTTTTGGTTTTACCATTACTGTAGTATATTTTTTATTTCTCAAACTAAACATCGTTTTCATTCTCAATAACATCAGATTTTGTAGGTTGAAAAACAAGAAACAATACGAAGAATGTTGGCTCGAAGATTAACTGACAGATCTGTCACACCCAACTATGGTATTGTTGATATTCAAAACCTTTAAGCATTTGTTAATATCATATATAACAGATTTTTCAGTAACTTATACATGTTATGATATTAGTTTTATTGAACTTGTAGTTCATTCTTGGATTTATATATTTCATATTTTTTATATATAAGAACAAGTTCTATATTTGTGTAGATCCTATTTCTGAGGCATCCCTTTTCACAATTAAAGTACATCATGGCGGATCATTTGTGCGTGGTCCGACAAGAGGCTACATAGGTGGGAAAGTTGTATTTTTTGACTATGTAAACAGAACAATGATAAGCTTATCAGATTTTAAAAATATGGCCGAACAATGTGGTTATGACAAGGAGTCTGTGGTGTTCTGGCACAAGTATGGTTTAACCCTTTATAAGGTTCGGTTAGTTGGTAGCAACATTGAAGTAGCTAAATTTGCTACTTGCATTCCAAAGGATAGAGTGATTGAGATATATTTTGAACATTTGAATTTCTATCATGATGATCATCAACATTGCGAGAAGACGGGAATGGATTCTTTGCCAACAAGTGATACAGAAGCAAATAGTGATGATTCTCATGATGATGATTTTGAAGATTTTGATTATTCATTAGAGGAAGATGATATATTATTTTCTAAATATATTGATCCTTCTGCTGAATCTTTTGGGATCAATATAAATCAGAGACATGAGAAAAATGATGTAAATCAAGATTATGTAAATGAAAAGATGCAGAATGTGGAAGGTGATTCAGATTGTGTAGATTCTGATGATACAGGGAGTTTAAATAGTGATTGCAATTCTGAAAATGAAGATTCTAACTTTCCGAAGCACAATCCAAAAACGGATGCCCTTAATCCCAAATTGGAGTTGGGACTGATATTCGGTAACAAGAAAGAATTCAAAGAAGCTGTGATTGCAAATCAAGCCAAAATAGGAAAGTCAATTGAGTGGATCAAAGATGACAGAAGAAGAGCAAGGGCCAAATGTAGGAAAAATGGATGTAACTGGAGGATATTGGGTTCATCGATGCAAAGGGACACATCTTTTCAAATAAAGACGTTTGTCCCCAACCATACTTGTTTTGGGTGGAATTATAACAACAAAAATATCACTTCCAGTTGGATTGCAAGGAGGTATGTTGATAGAGTTAGATCAAATAAGAATTGGAAAACATCAGAATTTAGAGATACATTGAGTAGGGAATTACGGCTACATGTAAGTATGCATCAAGCAAGAAGGGCAAAGGAAAAAGCTATTGCAATGATCGATGGAGATATAAACGTTCAGTTTAGTATATTATGGAATTATTGCAATGAAATTGTTCGAACCAATCTTGGGACTTCCGTTTTCCTGAAAGTAACTCCAAATGAGATACCTAACAAGTTGATGAGATTTCAAAGGTTTTATATTTGTTTTGCAGCATGTAAAGTAGGATTCAAGGCTGGTTGTAGGAAGATTGTTGGGGTCGATGGGTGTTGGCTGAAGGCCACCATGTATGGGGCACAGTTATTATCAGCGGTTACTTTGGATGGAAATAACAACATCTTTCCAATAGCTTATGCAATAGTTGAGAAGGAAAATAAGGAAACATGGTGTTGGTTTTTAACATATTTAATGAACGACCTTGAAATTGAAGAGCAATACCTGTGGACTTTTATGTCAGATAAGCAAAAGGGACTTCTTGAAGCTTTTGAATTAGTGTTGCCTGATGTTTCTCATAGATTTTGTGTGCGACACTTGCATAACAATTTCAAGAAAGCTGGGTTCTGTGGAATGGCATTAAAAAATGCTCTTTGGAAGGCAGCTTTAGCAACAACTGTTGACAGGTTTGATGCTTCTATGGCTGATTTGTTTGAGTTAGATAGAGATGCTTATGCATGGCTTTCTACGAAATTGCCTAGTGAATGGTCAAGATCACATTTCTCTCCGCTTCCGAAGTGTGACATTCTTTTGAACAATCAATGTGAGGTGTTTAATAAGTTTATTCTTGATGCGAGAGATAAACCAATTATTAAACTTTTGGAAACCATTAGGCATTTGCTCATGACAAGAATTAACTCAAATAGGGAGAAAGCTGAAAAGTGGAATTTGGGTGATATTTGTCCTACTATTAAGAAGAAGTTGACAAAAATTATGGAGGATGCTGCCACTTATATTCCTAAAAAGTCGAATATGTGGAACTATGAAGTGATTGGACCTGTTGAAGGTGATACTTGGGCTGTTGATTTATATAACAGGACATGTAGTTGTAGGCAATGGGAACTTTCGGGTATCCCTTGTAAGCATGCTATATCATCTATTTGGTTGAAAAATGATGAAGTTTTAAACTATGTCGATGATTGTTACAAGGTCGAGACATATCAAAAAATTTATGAAGTTCCAATATTGCCTATGAATGGTCCTGATTTATGGCCGAAGTCACAGAATCCTCCACTATTACCACCTTTATACTTGAAAAAGACAAAGAAAGGGAAGAAACAAAAACTAAGAAAGAAAGAAGATGATGAATCGGGAGCTAGCAGGATGAAGTTAAAAAGGAAACAAAAATCAGTTCATTGTAAGAAATGTGGTAGGCCTGGCCATAATAGTAGAACTTGCACTCCTTCATCTGATGCCGTTGAAATTCATCCATCGGACCATCCTTGTAGTTTGGACTCCATCATGATCGAGAGAGCATCAAGTTATCATAATGTGGAAAAGCTACCTGTAAGAGTGTTCAAATATTCTCATCTAAATTTCAATTATTTAAGTTTTTTAATATAGTATATAAATGCAAATATGTAATATTTTCATTTCTTATTTCAGGTTAGAAAAGGCAAATCTCAAGTCGGCCATCAAAGTTACATTTTCCAGACATCTCAAAATGGCAGGAACGATTGAAGAAATTACTTCTTTTTTATTTATTGAGTTATTTTTGTTCTTGTATATCAAACTGATGATATGCTACTGGTTTTTGCTGTTCATTTACTTATTCTGTTAATTTAATGGTACTAGACTCTGTTTCTACTTATTTTTATTGGTTTTTCTATTGTTTTGCTGGTCTTTTCATGTTGCTTTTCTTATTTTTTGGCAAACAATTTGTTGTTTACTATTGGTTTACCAATTTTTCTGTTGTATTGCTGTTTGTTTTTGTTGTTTTATGCTAGTTTGGTGTTGTTTTGCTGATTTTCTTGTTGTTTATATACTGGTTTATCAATTTTTTTGTTGTTTTCTAATGTGTTGCTGTGTTTGGCTAATTTGGTATTGTTTTGCTGATTTTTATGCTATTTTTGTACTGATTTACCAGTTTTCATAATCCTTTTTCCTTGTTTTTAATTAGCTGCCTTGATGTATTCTTGAGTGTGCTTTTTGTGCAAGTTTTGATCCTATTTTTCAGGTGAAATATTAGCCTTTTTTGCTGGTTTGAAGTGTTAAAATGCTCAAGGTGGAAAAAAGAAGAAAAAACAAATGCTTTTAGGCAACTCAGAGTACTTTCATTGCGCTTGGCAAACACACAAGATACGTTTAATACGAAAAACTCAAAGCGAGACTGATCCAACATAAAACGACTACTTTTACTACAACTCCAAATTCTCGTCTTCTCTCTTTTCAAAGTGAGGCCAATCCTTCCTCTTATCGGCTTACTTCTTTTTCAGACGCGATGCATTTCTATGAGCGTTGTTTATCATTTCTCAACTAGGCACATTAGGCTTGTCTCGCTTCCTCTTTGCTCGCATAGGAGAATGGATATGTATGAGTTATATAAGCAGTCAATTTAAACCCTCAGTTAGGGACGCATTTTCTGAAGGTTAAACTGAAAGTGGGACAGAGCAAATTATTTTTCTGTACAAACATATGAAAGAAGAGTCTGCACGTGAGCTATTGTTTATAAAAAGATGAAGCAATCAATTTACAGTATATGGAGACTTTGGGAGGAAAGTCACGTGCTTAGCATATGTTTTTCTTTCTGTTAGTTTTTAACAGTTAGTTAACAGAAAGGATGTTTATGCAAATTTTGAGATAGTAGAAGGATGTTTTTTGTTCACAATTATACCACAAGGATGTACCCTAAGTTTGAGTTATACTTGAGGGATGGTTTTAGCCAAAAACTCGAGAGGGATACGTATGAGCCCAATGAGATGTTTATTCATAAAAAAATAAATAAGATGATTTTTAAATACAGTGTGCTATTTAAGAGAAACAAATTACAAAATGAAAAAAACTAAGTAGTATCTAATTACAAAATGAAATAACTATATATATTATCTTATTAATTACTCCAATAATTTTGTATCAGTTTTTAAGTCACACTATTCCTTCATATTTTAAGTGAGAAAGTCAACATGTATATTTAATATTAAATATATGTATCTTTAATATCAAATACATCCTAAAATACATACATAGGAAGAGAAGCGAGTGAGATAGGAGAGAGACAAACAAGTGAGCGAGAAAACATATACTCCCTTCGTTTAAAAAAGAATGGCATCGTTTTCTTTTTTAGTTTGTTTCAAAAAGAATGATCTCTTTCTTTTTTTTGGTAACATTTTAATTTCAGCTTTTCACGTGGCATATTTAAGGCCACAAGATTAAAGGACAATTTTGTACATTTGACATAACTTTAATTTAGGACCACAAGATTCAAAAGTCTTCTTTATTTTCTTAAACTCCGTGTCAAGTCAAACTAGATCATTCTTTGTGAAACGGAGGAAGTATCTTTTAATACTCCATCCGTCCATTTTTAATTGTCCTGATTTCTTTATTAGAGTCAAACTATAAGAACTTTGATTAACATTTTATGATGTATTTTTTCATCATTTTGATATGCAAAAGATACCAATTTATTGTATTTTTCGTATAGTTTTTGAATATCTACTTTTTTCTTTAAAATATCAAATTAATGTAATCTAATTTAACTTTGAAAATTAATCAAATTGACTTTCGAAAAACGTAAAAAGTAGACGGGGAAAGTATTAGATAGAATATATGTATTTTTAATATCAGATACATTTTGAAATACAAATAAATAGAAAGAAAAGCGAGCGAGATAGAAAAAAGACGATGGAAAGAATCAATATATCTCAAATACATGTGAATCATACTTTAATACAATGTATTTACAAATCTAGAATGAATTACATCTGGTTTGACCGGTATAAATCCATACGGCAAAATAAATATGATAGATAAAGATAATTTCAAAAACTAAGGCGGAGGCATAAGCTAGTGAAATGTATATTATTTGCTCATTAAATTAAGATACCATGATACATTCACATAAAATATGTTAAATGCAGCATCATGTTACTTTGTGCATTACTAATACACTACCTAGTTTATTAACGATATTAAATACTATCTAAATTACGAGGATTTATGTGTTATTAAACAAACTCATATAAGAAAATTTTATACATTTTAGGACACAAACTTTTAAATATGTATTTTGAGATTACTTTTTTGTTTGGAGAAAAAAGGGGTAGGCTGAGCAATTGGGAATTGAATCAACTGCCGAGGAGTCTGTTGAGCATATTCATTTTTGGGGAAGAGAAGAAGAAAGGAAGGAGATCTCTAATGGCGACGCCAAGAGCAGATAGAGAATTAGAGCTTCTCATACCAATGGGAGTCATTGAGAATATTAATGCTAATCACTCCAAATCTTCTTCTCCTTCTCATTCCCCCAAGATTCCATCGTCTCATCACTCCTCTGGGAAAGAGGTTTCTGCATAATCTCTCTCTCAGTATCATTCATCAATGTGCCGCGCCATTTTGTTATCATCAATCTGATCCGATACATTTGTCATTATTTTTTCTGTATGTTCTTCCTAATTGACGTTTTATGGGTTAGCCTGAAGCTTAGACTATAGTATAGAACATGAATCCTGTATTTGCCTTGACGTACTTGTATCAAATGTGCGTTGATTATTCATGAAAATTCTCCATAAAAAATTGTGCAAAATCACAGTGATTACTTATATACTGGATATCTACCCGTCCAGGTAACATAGAGCTTGAATTGTGATAGCGCGATGAATTGCAGCATGAATTGTTATCCTTCTATGCAGGCATTTAGCAAAGTTATTCGTAGCTGGACTTGGAAAAAGTTCATCAGCGGATGGTTAGTTTTCTATTGCTCAGAAATCTGTTCCTCCTGTTGTTATCATTATGCAGTGCTTTTTCTCTTTGCTGAATGGTTTATTTGCATGAATGTTGTATAATTGTTTTGCAGTGTCATCTTATTTCCCATAGCCATAACTTTTTACATCACCTGGTGGTTCATTCATTTTGTGGATGCCTTCTTTTCTCCGATCTATAATCACCTTGGAATCAATGTCTTTGGTTAGTACCTACGATCTTTATGTACTTATCTATTTGACTGTACAAAAACTGATGAAGATTAAGATTGAGACTCATCTCAAAGATTAAGATGGTTTTAAGTGTTCAGTGATTGTGTGTGTGCGCGCCTCTCATTTTATGTATGCATACCGATACGTCCCTCCAATTTGATTGCCTCTATTCTATATTAGCATATTTAATTTGAGTATGTGATTGCTCTTCTGAGAAATGCCTACATGAAATACTTCCAGTATCTGGTCCTTCTTTTGAGCATGAAAAGATTTATTGCTGTTGTTGAATGCGCATTTTATTTATGGTTAGTGTTCATATTGATTCACAGGCCTTGGATTTGCTACCTCCATGACTTTCATCTTCTTCGTTGGGGTGTTCATGTCCTCATGGTTAGGTGCATCTCTTCTTAGTTTAGGAGAGTGGTTCATAAAAAAAATGCCCCTCATGAGCTACATCTACTCTGCCTCCAAGCAAATTAGCTCAGCAATTTCACCAGGTATCCTACCAAATTTTGAAGTTCTGTTTGAACGTTCCAAATACTAAACAGAATGTAGCAATTTTTTCCAGATAAGACTTCACATGCCTTCAAAGAAGTGGCCATAATAAGGCATCCGCGGCTTGGTGAATATGCATTTGGCTTTATCACTTCAACTGTCATACTTCACAAGAATACAGGTGCAGAGGAACTCTGCTGTGTTTATGTGCCAACTAATCACCTCTACCTTGGAGATATATTTCTTGTGAATTCTAAAGACGTTATGAGGCCCAATCTCTCTGTTCGAGAGGGGATAGGTAAGAGTCTAAATTCGACCATTTTGACAAACTAACTTTGCAGTTTTTATCTTCATCTCTTTTTAACAACGTTTAAATTTCAAACGATGTAGAAATTGTAATCTCCGGGGGCATGGCTGTACCAAAGGTACTGAACATACAGGAAGTGCAATCTATTTCATCTCCGAGAGTTGGAAAATTTGCAGTTCCACAAGTTTGATTACTCAACCATTTGAACAAGAAACCATGGAAAAGATATTGCTCAACGAGTAAACTGGACATACAGACCTAGAAATGGGGTTAATAATTCAAGGATAGAGGCTCTTACAAGAATATATCCCCAATCTTTCTCCTCTGATCTTTGTGATTTTTTGGTACATTTATCTGATTTTTTGTAAAACAATATTAAACAAACAAGATTTTGTCAAATGAGCTCAAGTTAGAAATTGAGCTTAACTCATACCTATACAGATTGCAACAAGGAGGTTGCCTTTGATATATTTTTTTTCCTTTCTTCTCAACAACTTGCATATAGTATTTCTTTTTGGATGGGAACAAGTACAATATTATGTTATAGAGGAGCATGTAAATAATCTAAGAGTGGTATGGGTCAATTGTAAGTTTATGAAACCAAGAAATGTTTCCTGGCTAGATCTGTCCGGCCAAGGGCCGTCTCAACCCCTAGGCCACTAAAGTCATCGCTTGGGGCCCCATATATTTTTGGGCCCCCATTTTTAAAAAATAATTACTTATATATGTTTTTTTAAAAAAAAAAATTTATATGTACTATGAGTGCTATGATTTCTACCAAGGAAATTACATATGAGATGAAAATAAATATGCATTTCTTAAGAAACAATTTGATGAAAATATGGATAGCGAAATCACAAAGTCCTTGAAGAATCTTTTAGAATTGAGTGCTTTATATATGTAGAGTAGATAAACCTATTTTTTCACTTCAAAATAGATTTGAATCAATTGAAGCATATGAAAATATTTTTGATTCTTATTTAGTGGTAAAATATTGAAATCACTAGATGATGAGAATTTTTAAAAATATTGTCTTAACCTTGAACATTCTTTAACACGTAATAGTTATTTTGATATTGATGGTTTAGATTTATTTAATGAATTAAAAGTGTTAAGAGAAATAATACAAGTAGAAGATAATGATCTAATGAAAATATTCAATCAAATAAAAGACTTGATTCTTTTCCAAATACATATATTGCTTATAGAATAATGTTAGCAGTTCCTGTAACCATTGCCTAAGCGGAAAGATGTTTTCTCGAAATTAAAATTGATTAAATATTCTTTAAGATCAACAATGTCTCAAGAGAGATTGGATGAATTAACTATATTATCAATTGTAAAGGAATTATTAAAACAAATTGATTATAAAACAGTACATAATGACTTCGCATCCAAAATAGCTAGAAAAGTAGATTTTAAAAAAAAGTATATATGATAAAAAAAAAATATTAGGGCCCCTCTCTTAAGTATTGCTTTAGGCCCCCAATGTTGTTGAGTCGGCACTAGACTCCGGCCCATTGTCTTTTCTCCACTACATTCAGTTGTGTTCATCTCTTCCCTCCTTCCCTTAAAAAAAAGCAGGTGTAAAGTTCGAGAAGTATTTTAACTAGAGCTAAGTTTTATGCGCTGATACTAAATAATATCTTACAATCAGATTAATTAAAAGGTAAATGCATGTTGATAATGATAACATACAATTATAAGTAATAAAAGGTTAAAGTATACTAATTGTGTAAAAATTCATTCAATTTCCTTGTAGGTTAGTCTGATTCTTTATAAATTTATTTCAAATGAAGTAGAAGTTAAAATGCCGTCATTTTCGCACATATTTTGAGGGGTCCAAGATGTCAGGCCCTGTCGACAGTCTCTTAGCTGCCCTTTTATATCGTTCTTTGATATGATAGACAAACACATCCGTTATCGTCCAGCGGTTAGGATATCTGGCTTTCACCCAGGGGACCCGGGTTCGATTCCCGGTAACGGAATCTTTTTTATATGACGACTATTATATTTTTTTGCCCATATACTCTGTCCAACCTAAATCATATTGCCTCTTAATAGACTTGGTAGATGAATAGATAACACTCAACAGTAACAATAAAAAATGAAAATATTTTTCTCTTGATAAACTAAACTGGAGAAAATTATACTCCCCTAAAGTGGACTTGGAATAATTTGGACAATGACTAATTATGGGTAAAATACGAAAAAAAAATATTTCTCTTGATAATCAAAATTCAAAAATGGACAAGCAAAATTAGTGAATATTCAAAGCTTATAAAATACACTCTTAACTTCATTGTATGCAAGGCGCAAATTGAGTGAGTACCAAAATAACTTACTCAGTGTAACGTTACATTAACTACTATTCAATATCTCAAAACTAGTCAAAAAAAGATCTATTCTTCCCCCATTTTCACCTACTTCATTAGCACAGCTTCACAAAATTGCTGCTGTTACGAAAAGCATCATTCAATGCTTTAACAAGTTCACCCAGGTAAGCAGCAGCCCAAATTTACAAAATTTTACTGGGGTTACCCAAAACATAATAATTCAAGAATTAACTATTTGACTAAATAAGTTCTAAAACATGTTAACTGTCATCAGCTGTTGAGGGTAGAAAGCATTCCTCCAGTTGCAGTTGGAATAACTACTTCCCAACCAGGTCCTTTGAGAGGAAGGACGTTAACACATGATTCAGCGTCTCCGTCTTCACCTGAAGGAGGACGGATAAGTAGATCACTACGGTCTAAAATCCTCTGCAGATCTTCGTCACTGACATCTGTCTGCACCAACTTGTCCTCCTCACTGTCTCGATCTCTCAAGAGAGACAACAAATCCTCCTCCTGCAACATTGAAGATTAATTAGCAAAATTCACCTATTATTTTCATCTACTACTCTGTCGCATTGTTACTGCATACAACAGAAAAGAATGGGTTCAAAGACAACAAACTAGGTAAAGCAGGAACATATTCGAACAAGTAATGAAAAAGTAAACAACCAAAAACTATCAGTCTCCAATAGTTGCTATACAAGGAAGTGTTGGAAAGATAGCAACTCACTGATTATATAGGGAAAATAGAATTTGCAAAATGGGATGAAAAAAATAGAATTTCCTAGAGGGAAACAACCAGAAACCTCTGTAACATCCATGGAAGGTTTGCTCATTTCCTGCTTAAATTGTCCTTTTCCAATAACCACATGCTCAAGCTTCAACTTGCTAAAAGCTCTTTTGAGGATTCGACCCTGAAACACACAAATTTTCTTTATTAGAATGAGCAATAAAGAGCTGCAAAACACACTTCCAGATATAGCCTGAATACCTCCACAGACAAAGCTGTTGAAAGTCTGTAAACATGAACAGGTTTGGTCTGACCAATTCTGTGACATCGATCCATTGCCTGCAGATCCATTTGAGGATTCTGAAAAGAAAAATGTGAACTAACTTACTAATAATCTAAAATGGTCATCAATTCATAAATGCTACAAACAAGGAAAACTAAAATAACAGAAAAAAAGAAAAAAAGAAAGGTGAATGCAAGGCAATAACTATTTTTCTTTTGATGAGGTAAGGGGTTGTTCGGTAGGGTGTATAAGATTAGTAATGAATAGGGAGTATTGGTAATGTTGGGATTAATTATGCTAAGATTATTTTTTATTGACTGTTTGGTTTGTTGTATTAATTGAATAGGGTATATTAGAATAGGAATAATATACTGAATAGGGAATGTTGTATTAATTGAATAGAGTGTATTAGAATAGGAATAGTACCCCATATTGTTAATGCCATGATTTACTCTAACTAATACATGTATAAGTAATACATAGGTAGAAAACACTACCAAACAAGCATGTATCTGATAAGTGAAACTACTCTATAAGAAAAGAGAGGAACTATAGCATACAAAATTACTGGTTCTTTAGGCTGGAAACTATACAGTTCTCTTCATGATGCACTCGAAGCCTACTTGTCAGAGAAAAAAAACACCTTACTCTTTCATCTTTGATATCACGGAATTCTTTATGCTAAAGTCAATTACAGCACTGTTTAATGGGAGAAACCATGCAAAAATAATCATTGGAATAAGCAAATGGAAGCACAAGGGGTCTTTAAGAACATACCCAGTCACTGTCATACAAAATACAGGTATCAGCAGCAGTGAGATTGATACCAAGGCCACCAGCTCTTGTGCTAAGAAGAAATATCCTGAACTTGCTGCTAACATCATTGAACTCCTTGATCTGTTCCTCGAATAAGGAAAATACAAACGGATCAACTTCATAAAGAATTTTACAGATAACGAACAAGATCATGTGACCATTCCAATAGCACATGAACTACAATAAGAGCCAAAATATTTTAGAGAGAGTTCAAGTGGGAGGAACTTTAAACAATGCAACATTGAGAGTAGTCATTAAGAAATTTGTTACATCAAAGCAAAACAAAGCAACATAGAACTACTTGATATCAATATATAACCAAGGAGATGGAAACTTTGCTCTGAAATGAAAAATGATAGGGAGACAGCAGATGAGATAAATTGGAAAGGAATAACTGACTTCAGCAGGAGAGTGAATCAGTTTTTTTAGAAAAACAGAGTGAAACAACTTAGAGCCCAAAAGAAAATACGTTATGAACAGAAATCATTAATCCCAGGCACTTTCTCTTGCCAATCATGAGAAAAGTACACAGGTTGATTGGTACACACCATCACGTTTCAACCAGACATTCCACACACATCAGGAGCAGTGGAGTTCCACCCACAATCAGAGTTAGGCATACTAGAAGGTTATCAGCACACCAATGGTGATAGCCAGAGCCCAGATGTTGATAAAAACTCATGCATACTATCCCATGGCCATAACTGCTCACCATTCTGTGAGCAAGAGAAGCTGGAATAATAAAACTATTGAGACAATCTTAGGAATTACAGACATGCAATGTGTGCAGTACCAATTGTCTACGTCATCACTGGTTCAAACCTTAGCAGAATCAAAACAAAAACATACTGAATCTGCATCAAAATGTAAATACCAATTACCTGTCTTTTTCTTTCATCCAATTTCACACTGCCATCAATTCTACAAACATCGAATCCCCTTTCACTAAAATAATAGTCCATTAGGTCTAGTACTCTAGTCCACTGAGAGAATATCAAAACCTGTTGGCAGTAAATGAAATGAGTTTTAAATAGTTCGAGCAAAGTGGGAAGAAACCTTGAAGCACCAGACAGCTTATAAAACCTTGTGTTTGCGAGCAAAAAGCTTTGATAACAGCTGGTCCAGCAAGCGAAACTTGCCACATTGCTCAACTATTTGTTCCACAGGTGGATAAAAATCTGCCAAATAAAGAACAAAATTATAGGTTATTACCAACACAAGCACAAAATTATAGGTTATTACCAACACAAGCACACAATTATCAGTTCCACAAAATAATCATCA